AAACTGAAAGGACTCATATGTCTCTTGGAAACGGATAGCAAGAAGAAGCAATAAAACGCAACATACAAATGGTGACGAAAATATGGAATGATTGAGAGTATGAAAAGATAGCAAGGGGAACAGAGGAAAAACGATGGATATGTCTAACCCCATTCGAACTGACTCGGAAGCTGCGGACGATACTAGAGAAATGGGACATTCGTACAAATATAAAGGAAAAGAAAAACCTCTTCGCCAGCTTGCTTGACCAGCATAAAGATGTCAAGAAAATGGAGAGCTCTGGAGTTTACGGCATAAACTGCAAGGACTGTAATCGAAAATACATCGGAGAGATGGGAAGGACAATTAGCACAAGACTAAAGGTATAGATAGACCAGATATAGATCACTAGTATGTGAGTAAGAGTTGTGTGTGTTTTTCGTATCTGTGCCTGAAGGGGAAATGACTGGTGACAGGCTTGACCACGAGGGATACCAGCCAAAAAACATATTGAATATCGTGGCTTCTTAGGAAGAATGCAAAAAACGCTTAATGGCATGATTTTTTCATGTGTTAATTCAGGTAATACAACTTCATTTTTCAGAGCCTGATTCTGAATTGCCCTTGAATTATCAAGTTTATATGCTATCCTGAAAATCGAAGCACTGACCCTGAACTCATCATTGTTTAGACCTAGGTGAATAAGATCTTCATCCGCTTGTTCTAAGGTACAATCCGCTTTCGATAGGCCCAGTAAGCTTGCCGATGCCTGTTGAGCCAACGAACGCCTCGATGCGGCTTTTGATCCAAGCTCAGATTCAGCGGAAGATGTTGTCGACCGAGGCCAGTCAAACGATGAGCGGGCATCTGGAATGGATGTCACCATGGCCTGCTGTCCAAAAATACTTGTGGTAAGGGCTGTGCTCGTGGCAATCTGTTCTGCTATAGCATCTTTAGAACCACTGCTGGTAACAACTCCCTGCAAATTCGCACGACAAAGCCCAGAGGTATTGCTCAGATTGCCAGTCGCTAGGGCAGATTGTCGGGCTGGCAGACGAGACTGGAGACCATTCACAGCCTGTTTTCCTGGAGCCGGAAAGAGTTCAGCTGTAAACAGTCGGCGCCACAGACCAGTGATGAAGCATTCGCGAACAGATAATTTAACCAGACTGATTAGGTCGTGCGTGAACTCAGCCTGGACAAAGCTAAGAGTTTGATAAAGCCCACCTTGGTGCGAGGGCCACAACCCCAAGTATGAGACATGCCAGCGCATATTTGGCTGCGTTTGAGATTCGCTTAATGTTTGTGGTGAATCAAGTAGGCCAGATACAAAAGAAGATGTCATCTGATCTTCAGAATGCTGAGCAGACAAAGCCAACATAAATAGCTTTTGCATAGTGCCTTCAACTGGACTAAATGGAGATAAAGTAGAAGAGTTGGCTGGCGAGGTTTCCTGAGCTCCAACAAAATGTGAACTTGGAGAAACAGCGGTAGATGAAGACTCCTGTTCAGATGAAAAAGCCATCCTATTTGAATCGCCTATGCAAGCTTAATAATGATGCAAAAGAGAATTAAGCAATAACTAAAATGGTTTAGGGGTAGTTAAAACTATGAACAAATAAATAGGATCATTAAAAATTCATATTATAGCAACTGACAGTGTCATTGATTAAGCAAAAATACTACTAAGTTGTATAAAATAAATTGAAATGCATAATCATGAAATATAATTGCTCAAGCAATTCATGTACAGAGCTCGTACTCATTAGGAATGGAGTATAGTTTTAAGGAAGCCCGCATCTCATCAGATACCTACGAAGGATTGGTGTGCGGTAAACGGAAAAATAAAAACTTTGGTCCAGTTAAAATCGTTGAATATAAATATATTAGAAGGCCAGTTTGCATAAGAGAAAAGCTTGTTATAGATATACTTAAAAATCATGTAAATATAGGCGTTAATTAATATTTATCCTCTGATAGATTAAATTTAGAAGTGTGGAATTATTGATGATAAGAGAATGGATAGAAGGCACTACAAACCAGAATTAGGATGAATAAAAA